CCTGCCCCAGCCCGGCAAAAGGCGGCTCCGGGGCGGGGGTGTGTGTGTGTGTCGGCCGGAGCCCCCTGCCCCGGCGGGCTGGCGCTGGGGATGGAGCAGGATTTCCTTTTCTTCCCCAAGAAGCTTCTGGCAACGCGCACGTTTGAGTCCACTCCTCGATGCAATCCTGGGGGAAAAGGGCAGGAGCCGTTATATAAACCCTTCCCTTGATGTCGTTGTTGTGGGAGCCGATTTAGGGCAGGTATTGCAGCTCCAAGGATCCTAACTTTTCCTTACGTAAGGCCAGATAATTCGCATCTAACGGACTGTTACAGCCATTTATTTTTTTGACACAGAGTTGTTCATTATTGGCAGCGGCGCAGCGGCTCCTTCTCCCAGCCCCACGGACACACCCATCCTAGTCCTCCTTCCTCAGCCTCCGAGGCAGAGAAGTGAGCTCTGAAACAGAGCTTTGAAGTGTGACATTTGTGCGGGAGCCGCTGGGCTGCACAGTTATGTTTTAAATGACGTTTAGGAAATGCAGGGGATGCACAAAACTGGTATGTGATAAATGAGCATCCTCTTTTGTGTTTGTTTTTGTTTTTGTTTTTTGGGGGGGGAATAGTTTCCCTCCAAAAGTCCAATGGTAGAGAGTTTAAAAAGATGCCTGTGTTTAAATAACGATGAAGGTTACTGCTGGATTGCTGTCACGGGCCAAAAGTAGTATGACGCATTTTTCTTATGACTGAATGCTCTGATTTATGTTGTGTGCACCCAATGCAATTCTCTTGTAAAGATAAGAGAGAGAAAAAATCAGATTCTGGTGTTATTTGCTGTTGTATAAACCCGGAATTGACCTACTGAGACTAATGCTTGAAGAAGAAGGATAATCAATGTCTAGCTGTCCTGTTTTGACTGCATCAGTAGGATAAATATATACAGATTTAGTGGCAGACCCTTGCAGGGTTGCAAACTGCGTGTGCTTTTGTCTCCAAGGTGCTTGAAATGAGCAGAAGGATTCGCGCTGATTTCAGAGCCTACCGTTCAGCCGCAGCAGGAGACCTGTTTACTAGCAGAAGCATTCAGAGCATCATTAAAATGGTCCAGGCTGCATTTTTGTTGGTCGCTATATCTAATTATACATCTTTTTTTTTCTTCTTTCCTAACTGGTGCCCAGTGCATTAGGACTTGGGCTGTGAGTAACATCAACGGCCAAACTAACAGATTTCAACAGTAGCTGGCCTTTTTAATAGCACAAGGAGTCTGCACTAGAGGTGGGCATAAATACTGCAGTGTTTCTGGAAATGGTAAACATGTAGGACAGTTTGCTGTAGAGGCTGGCATTGAAAGACAAGTGGGTTTTTCACGCCCCAAGTTAATTCATTCAGGCTTATTGGCATTCACAGCAGATCCTAAATTTAAATCTTGGGGTTTTCTTTCTTTGTTTTTTAAATTGGTGGTGTTATTCAGGGAGACTCTCCATTGCAGCAGTAGGAGGAAGGAGAAGGAAAAAAAGGAGGGGGAAGGAGAGACGCTTAGCATCTCATAGACGTTTAGCAGTTAATAAAAGATGGATATAATGGTATAAATCAGTAGCTGATGCAATTCGTGTAGCCCTTTTGGCGTTAAAAGAGCCATGTCAGCTTGTGTCAGCTGAGAATCGGGTGCTCCAACTCTTCAGTTTTATTATAAGCTCTTTGGGGAAAATGCCTGATTCTTCTGGTGGACCAGCAGAGTCCCAGCTCGAAATAAGGGCCCTGAGCAACACTGTCGCTGTCCTATATGTATTTGCTATAAGTTCAAGGCACCACCAAGTTACAGTCCTGCTTTCTACCCCTTCTTGAATTCAGCATTTGGCTTCACCAGCCTGGCTATGCTGTTCTGGTATAGCTTTGTTCTCTTACAAAGACATTTTTGGGAGGAGGAAAGAGAATCTGAGTAAGTACAAGTGCAGATATAAGAGCCAAGGTGTAGTTTAAACTGAACGCTGCATAACGTCTATGTGCTTTGCTTTAAATAGATGCATCTGTAATGTAGGGAATGAAGGAACCAGAGGAACATCGCAGTCACTTTTAACTTTCCTCCCCATCCAGAGCTCTGTAGGGTGTGTTTCATTCTTGTTTATGACTACTGCAAAAAAAGATAAATTTGTTTTTGACCTAAGATCTCACAAAAGTGAGATGTAACCTGGGCTGCGATAAAAGCACGTCGCTTGATAGCTGCCTTGTTATAATTACCTTTCTGTTCCTGCCAAACTGTCTTCTAATTGGAGGGAATTCTATTAACTGTTTTTTAAATCCTTCTTTTGGACTTAGTTTGCTAATATGTGCTTCTTTCCATCTGATGATGCAGTGGTGCTCTGGAAAGGCGGTAGAAGTATCCACTGCATCGAAACATCACTAAGTTGGACAAAATGAGTTTGTTTGTGTTGTGTAACCCGTGGCAACAGACTTTTGGTCCATTTCCCTGACAGCAGTTGACTCACAGTTAGCCGTGACTCCAGTGTGTGGGTGCATATAGGAAATTTTGCATACGACCAAGGCAGAAAAAATAGAGATGTGGCTATTACGCATCCTTCAAAGTATTATTTAATGCTTTTGCTGTAGGTGATGGTGGCAGACTGCAGGTATGAGTGGAGCTGCCAAGTAGACAAGCCTGCTGGAACTCAACTCCTTTCCTGTTCTGATTTTTTTGGATCATTAGTGTGATGAAAGGTCTTGCAGATGAAATAAAATATTTTATCTTTCCAGTTGAAAGTGCAGCAATTGACTTGTGTTTTGACATGCGCTTTTGAATAATGCAGAGGTTGTTTCCGTCTCTACTCTTTTATCTCTGAAGTGACACTGCAGACTGTCAGCTTTCTCACAGAATAATTATGTATTGTTGTATGCTTCTTTGTTGCAGAGTGATCGTCTTTTGATCAAAGGTGGTAAAATAGTTAATGACGACCAGTCTTTTTATGCAGACATTTACATGGAAGATGGGTTGATAAAGTAAGTGAAGCCTGATGCCATGTTGTGATTGGAAATGTACAGAAATGTACTGCAGATTGGCAAGGAATCCCTTAGTCTCAGTGAGCTATATAAATTGCAATGAAAAATGAGTATTTCACGTATATGCTGGTGTTTGATGGAGGAACTTCAAAAACAAGGTGTTGAATTAAATAAACAAATGGGCCAAAACCCCACTGTTATTAAAGCATGGGTCAAAGGAGGTACTTACATGTGCTTAATTTTAGCCATGTGAATAGCCCCACGCTGAGATGACACATATGTTTGAAGTTATCTGTGTTGTAACATTTTACTGAGTTATGACTTAAGATATTTTGAATCCGGAGTTCAGCATCCTAGTACAGTTAATTCTGTTTTAGGGTAGGAGGCTGGACTTAGGTGACCTCTTGAGGTCTCTTGCAGCGCTGTCTTCTATGATTCTATGATACGAGGATCAATCTAAACCCCCTTAAAGTTAATAATGATCCTGTAGTTTAAGGACTGAGGTTCAGACCTCTTTCCAGCATGCCTCTGTGTTTTCAGTCCTGAAACATGTGTTTCTGGCACATTAAATATATTACAGATTTCTTTGGAAAATTACTCTTAGGGAAAAATGGACGAGCCAGAGGTTACAAACAAGGAATTTTCCTGTTCTGGCTAAACGGTCAGCACATGTGCTTTGTTAATCAAGGTTAAAAGTTAAAGGAGCCAGCCAAAGACAGCTAATTAATCGCAGTGTGTCATCCACTGTTGCATTTTTAAAAATACATCAGTGAAGAACTAGACTGGAGAGGGCTTTGGGGGTCTCATCAGGAATTTGGTAACCGATATCTGCATGGGTTTATATTTGTGCAGGGACTACATGATATTTATGCATGAAAAGTAGACAATATAGAGGCAAAAATTCTTCCAGTGCTCCCAAAACAGTACTAACATCTAAATGGCTGTTGGATAGCTAGAATCAAGTGTTGAACTGCCACTTGGCAACCCCGGTCCCGTCCCAATAAAGCTGCGCGCAAGGCTCTTGCTGTGTTTGGTGCAGCGATTGTCTGATTATCTGCATGGTCCCTTCTCCAGCTGTCTGCCAGTGTGGCTCCTTCTTTTCCTTCCTGTTAAGTCTAATATTGCCCCAAGGTCCTGAAGTAATTGCACACTTTGCTCGCAATTATGCAACTGCTTCAAGGGGAAGCATAAAATATTATCAGCTATGCATGCTGATCCTGTACATTGCTTTATATGGAAAAAGAAAACACTAGACAGGTTAAGTAGCACGAGGGTGTATGTTTACAGGCTGTTTGCCTCATCTGATGTTTGTGTCTGACTTGCTGTTTGAAATGTGTTTACCCAGGCAAATAGGAGAGAATCTGATTGTGCCAGGGGGAGTGAAAACTATTGAAGCCCATGGCAGGATGGTGATTCCTGGAGGGATTGACGTTCACACCCGCTTCCAGATGCCGGAACAAGGGATGACATCTGCTGATGACTTCTTCCAGGGGACCAAGGCTGCACTGGCTGGGGGCACCACCATGATCAGTAAGCTGGCTGGTTTTTCTCTACCAAGAAAGCTTTACTTTTTTCTTTCTCAGATAAGTACAGAGACTGTGGGCTGTGTAAGTCGTGTGATACTTTGGACCAGGTATCAGCAGTGGAGGGTTTCTGATATCTGTCTAGGTTGTTGAGAAAAGCTTGTGTAGGGGTGGGAAAAGGGGTGGAAAATCAAGACCCCAGGATTTCCGCATCTTGCAGCTGTCAGGCATTTCACTCATCCTTTCTGTTGGCAGGGTTTACCTTGCTGCTTGTGTGACTTTGCCAGATTCTTGGGTCTGCTCCTAATGAAACCAGTGTCACTTTGACCTCTGGCTTCATCATCAGCAGCAGATTCTCCATATCCCTGTGCTTTGGTTCCCTTTCTCCATGATGTCTGTGACTCCAAGAGGCTTGTACTCTATCATCTATAGAGTTCAGCCTTTCTGGAATAGCGGTTGCCGCACATACAGAGAGAGGAAGGAGAGGTACTTCATACGGGGTTGTCTGAGGACGGATAGGTGTCCATCATATGGTTCACACCTAGAAGCTTGATGCCAGTGTACTATGTATCTTTGAAAATTGGGCCACTTATTTAAGGATTTGCACATGCCCACTTATGTATGCAGCTTTAGCACCAGGATTTTTGTTAGCTTTGTTCCTTTTGTGCTCATATCCTCTTTTGGAGGAAGAGAGAAATCGGGAAATGAAAATATCTCAGAATAAAAAGACAGACTGACCGACTGTTCTGCTGACACCAGGATTAGACACTCATGGTGTTCCACTCTGGCTCTAAAATGCCTCATGAATGACTTCCAGGCTATCTGTCCTCGCTTGTGTTGGCTACAGATGTTTGGCTTGTCAGAGCCAGGACCTTAAAACTCCATAAGTGAGTCATTGTTGTTAACCTTGTTTGAGCTAGAGAAAAAAAATAAAAACCTCTGTTGCAGTGCAGCTGATCACGTGTAAACTGTAACACAGCGCCCTGGAGTCTGTTGCCGCATATGGGAATCAAGGATAAAGGTGTAAAGTGATACAATATCTGAGCATCTTGCATTCTTTCATGTACTCTGAAGTGCTGCCATTTCACAGGAGGGAAGTTAAGGTACAGAGAAATAAGAGCATGGTTCAGAGCGAGCACTAGTGTCTATTGTCCGATCCGGGGATATAAAGAGATCTTAGGCACAGCCAGGAATCAGCCTAACTCTCCTCAGTTCAAACCTAGCTCCTTATGGACTAGAACATCCTCATCTCTTAGAGGGTGGTTATGAGCAATCTTTGATCCCTGGCCTGGTGGGCGGACTTGGATTGATTGACATGGAGGTTGGGAGTAGGAGCCAGTGGTCCAAACACAGCTAGGCTGTCTGTGTTTCAGAAACAAATCTTTTTCTGGGTCTGGACCTTGCAAATAGGTTGTATCTGGCCTATGAACTTGGTCTAATGCTTCAAATAAATAACCATAAAATAACCCGGGAAATTATTTTTCATAATGTTATCACTTTAGAGTATGAAGTTTGTGTATGAAAATAACCTCACACATACGGAGAACGTAAAGTGAGAGTGTAGCTGTGGATGGTCTCATTGTGCATGCTAATATCCAGTTTTTCTTCAAATTTTGGCTGTCAAGTTAAATTAATAACACTGAAATGGTATTTTCTTTTCAGCTTCAGTTCATTGACTTTGTTTCATTGGTTGTTCCCTTGTTATTAGTACACCTGGTTCACACTTGAATTACCATTTTGTTCTTCCTTGTTAAGTTGAATTAGATCAAAATAACATTCTCTGTCGTCTGCATCTGAGCTTTTACCAGTGTTATTTCCCCCAGTGGCACTTTTTAAAACATTTTAAGCAGAAATTGCTTAGGCAAATTTTTCTAAAGTAGCTCTTTACTTTGGTTGCCCAATTTTACCTGTGCAGAGCCTCATACTTCAGAAATGCTTGCACCTTTCCGTATATGTGTAGATGTATATTGCCTTTATGACTGTAGTATCTGAATGTCAAACTAATGGTGTTTGTAACGCATCTCTGAGTTAGGGAAATTGGAGGAGAATCCCCCATTTTATAACTTCTTATTTTACAGCTGTGAAAAATTAGCACAATGTAGATTATGACCGTGGGCAAACCATGTAGAGGAGGCCGGTGGCTAAACTTGACCTTACTGCCTTCCTGAGTGTCTCGGATTAGGATACCAAAATACACAATCACCTCTGAACAAAAAACATCTTCCTAAAATGTAGCGGCAAGGACAGTAATTGGACTGCTTAGGATGATGGAGAGACGTTTCTGATGGGCGGGTATCAGCAACTGGAGCTGAACAGTGGAAAGCAGGATAAATAATTCAACTAGACTTCAAAGCTTTGGAGACTCTGCTCTGTGTCAGCTCAGCTGTTCTCTTCTTAGCAAAATTATACCATTTGCAAAAATGTTTTTCCACAAGGAAGCATGCAGAACTGCCCTTGTGAACACGCTCTTGGTGGGTGGCCTTTGGTTTTTCCCGAAGCAGGTGGGAGTCATGGTTGATTGCAGCATTGTTTCTTTTATGATAAATAGGACAACGTTTAGTGAACTAGATTCATAATATCACAAAAAAATTGCAGCCTGAAAATGACATGCTAATGTTTATGTCATTGTATATTTTAAATACTGTGCCTGGGACTTTTCAAAAGAGAATATCCTCCTCTCATGGAAATGTGTCTAGCTGTGTGCCTCCGTTCTTCAGGCTTTTTTTGGAAAAGCTAGCTTCATGGATGTGAGCTTTGTGGAAAAAAACACCCATGTTTCTTCATTTGTGCTTTAAGCAAACTTTGTATGATTTATTTACGAATACCTTTACTCCATCTGTTTTTCACTTTTATACATAGCCCTTGTTTTGGGCAAGGAAACAGGTTAGTCAGCTTCATGCTTCAATTTGTTTCACATTTTCATGCAGGAGGGCACTTTAAGGCTGTTTACTTTACAATCATTGTAGGGGAATACTTGTTTTGTATACATTTTTCAGTGAAATTAAAACAAGAATCTTGGATAGGTTTCTATTGATTGTTGGTTTTATAAAAACTGTGGGTGAAATCCTGGCTTCGGCAAAGTAACAGAGAGTTTTGTCATTGACCTCAGCAGTGCCAGGAATTCACCCTGTATGTCTGGTTTGGTTTCAGTGAACTTCATTTTCAGCTCAGGTCAAATTCAATATTGTTCCTTTAATTCTCATGGCAAACACATCCAAGGGAAGCGCACAGGAATTCAAGAATGTAACCTATTGTTTCCAAGCTCTGTTCTCATTCACTTTGGTTCCCCTTTAAAGTAAATTCATTACTACAGCATCAGAGATAGGAGAATCCGACTCTCAACTGGTATCAAATGGAGTAGCCCCATTTTCTGTGTGGAACCAATGGAGATTTATCCTGGTGGGAAGCAGATGTGGCTCCAATCCAGTGCTTCCCAACTCGTCCACTGGTCAGCTGGAATGAGGGAGAGTGGCTGGCGGTGATGATCTGAATTAGCCCTTTTCTGCTGTACATCACCTATGTTCCCATAGGGCTCTCCAGTCCTTGCTTTCCTGAGCCCTCCCCTAGGTTGCTTCACTCAGGAGTTAGGGCTGAGTTCTTTTTCTAGCTACTCGTTCCACGGAGGCCATCTGAACAGGAATTCCAGTTATGATCCTTCTGTCTCTACCCTCTTCAGTGCCAAAGGCAAGACTCCAGCTGACTTTGCTAACGTATGAAAAAATATAGTTGGTTTTGCTGTGCAGAGCTGAGAGGTGAAATGACGTATTGTGATATGATTGTTTGTTTTTCTGAAATGGCAATTTGCATGATCCTTTCTCTGTCCCTACCTTAAAACAATATTAGCGTGGGTATGTCAGTCAAGGGTGAACAGCACTGTGCATATTTTAGGATAACATTACTCTGTAAAAAAACTTGGATTATCGCCCTTTTAAAATGTCAGAATGCAGTGTTTGGGCATTAAGTTGAAGGGAGGATTCCAGGATGATCCACAGAAGACTTTGGAGGAAAGAGGAGTATTAGATAGGCTCCAGCTCATTCAGGGTAGCTTGCCTAAGCTCCCCTGTATTCCATGGAAAGAGAACAGTCCTTCTGGAGTTTTGGAAAAGGACTCCGTCTGAAGTTGCCCTTTACAAGAGGCTCTTTCTCATCCGTGGAGCCTATGGAGCCACAGTTTTGTTGAGCTAAAGATGGCGTTTTTGAGTTCCTATTGTCCCAACTTGAGATAGGTTGATGTCCTAGGATATAAAACAGTCCCTGGAGCTATTAGAGAAGGAAGACGTCACTGCTAAGAACAGGGTGGTCTCTCCAAGTCTTGCGATGTTTTGGTTGCTTATTAACTGTGATGGGTGAAATCCCCATCAAAATCAATGGTAAAACTCCCCCTGATTTCAGTATAGGCAGGATTGCCTTTCACTGCTCCTAACCCTTCAGAAAGGATGAAGCTAAGCTGTGTATATTTATTGGCTGTCTGATCCTCTAGCCTGTTTAATGTCCTACTGAGAACTGCGTCTATCCAGGCCAGCTCCCACACACATTTCAGCCCCCCCCTCCCAAAGACTGTGCTTCTTCCTGGCTATCTGCTGTCCTTGAGTGAAATTGCTTGCTGACATTGCCTGTGTTGACTCAGTCAACCACTGTTATAATCATAGAGAGAAATTACAGTGAGAGAAATTACAGCTCTTTCTGGCTTGCTGACTTGGAAGCCAGCTGCCTTTTGAACTTGACTAGCAGTTATCCTAATAACATGGAGAATGTACGCTAGGGATATGAGCCTTTGTGTCTTGGGAGGTTCAGAAAATGAAGGGGAACTTCAAATGGGCTACAGTCTGCTTCCTAATGCTTTACCCTGCTATTAAAGAGAGAGCTGGTGTGCAGGATGGCAGGAATTTTCAGGAGTGTGTTAGCTGCTTAGCTCCAATCAAATTTGTGGTGAGTTGACACCAGGTCTCCTAGGTCATCCTGAAGATCACCACCTTGCTAGAAGGAAATGTTCCCGGTCTAATATTC